CCCGCCATAACGAGCATCCCCTTCGTTAGGTTCCTTAACGAAGGCTGCGTGCCGACAGTCATCCCCAAGGATGCAGAGTGCGGGTGCGCAGCATCCTCTCCCCATCCCAGGGGATCCCAGGCCCCGGTATCCCCCCAGTATCCCCCTCAGTAATCCCAGCATCCTCTCCCCATGCCAGGAGATGCCAGACCCTGGCGTCCCTCCAGTATCCCCCCCAGTATCCCCAGTGTCCTCTCCGCATCAGAGGAGCGCACTCCCCAGTATCCCTCTTCCCAGGGGCCCCGGTATCCCCCCAGTATCCCCCTCAGTAATCCCAGCATCCTCTCCCCATGCCAGGAGATGCCAGACCCTGGCGTCCCTCCAGTATCCCCCCCAGTATCCCCAGTGTCCTCTCCGCATCAGAGGAGCGCACTCCCCAGTATCCCTCTTCCCAGGGGATCCCAGACCCCGGTATCTCCCCAGTATCCCTCCCAGTATCCCCAGCATCCTCTCCCCATCCCAGGGGAACGCAGTCCCCAGTATCCCTCTTCTCAGGGGATCCCAGACCCTGGTATCCCCCCAGTATCCCCAGCATCCTCTCCCCATCCCTGGGAAGTGTAGTCCCTAGTATCCCTCTTCCCAGAGGATGCCAGACCCTGGCATCTCCCCTTTATCCCCCCCCAGTATCCCCAGCATCGTCTCCCCATCCCAGGGGATGCCAGACCCCGTTATCTCTCTTCCCAGGGCATCCCAGTCCCTGCCATCCCCCCAGTATCCCCCACCGTGACTCACTTGAGACCAGCTGGCTGACGGTGGGGGTCTCTGAGCAGGTGATGGGGACGGGTGCGGAGGAAGCCTTCGTCGCTGGGACGGGGTTTGCCATCACCACGGCCGGCTGGGAGAGCGCCGGGGCCGGCTGGATGGGCTGGACCTGGGGCAGAGGGGAGGGTCAGCACCCCCAGTGCGGGGGATCCCCCTCTTCCAGTGCCACGGCCGGGCTCCTCCCTGCCCACCAGCTCCATCCACGCGGTTACGGGAAAGCAGCCACCGCGTTGCTTTTGCTGATGGTGGAGGTGAGACAGGCTGGGACGGAGACGTGACACTGGCAACCCCAGTTCCATGCTGGGAATGGGGCTGTGACAATTCTGTACTGGGTTTGGGGTGTCCCGTCACGGAGGTTTGGGGATGACCAGCATCTCTGCTCACGTCAAGTTGAGGCTCGGTCATGTCCCATCCCAGCTGGGAAATTTGGTGGGCACAGAGAGCGGGATGCCCCATGGGGCAGGAGGGGTCATGTTCCAAAGATGCTCCTGGGCTCCCAAAGCAATGGGGCCAGGCCCCAGAGCAACACAGCCACGTCCCAAAGGTGCTCACATGCTTCCAGAGCAACGTGGCCGGGTCCCAAAGCCACCCGGCCAGGTCCCAAAGCCACTCACACGCTCCAAAAGCAACGTGGCTGCATCCCAAAGATGCTCATGTGCTCCTAAAGCCACGCAGCTGGGTCCCAAAGATGCTCACATCCTCCCCAAGTAAGGTGGTCGGGTCCCAAAGCAAGGTGGCCAGGTCCCAAAGGGGCTCATGTGCTCCCAAAGCAATGTGGTTGGGTCCCAAAGATCACATGTGCTCCCAAAGCAATGTGGTTGGGTCCCAGAGCCACATGGCCACATCCCAGAGGTGCTCACGTGCTCCCAAAGCAATGTGGTTGGGTCCCAGAGCCACACATCTGGGTCTCAGGGATGCTCATGTGCTCCCAAAGCAATGTGGTTGGGTCCCAAAGCCACACATCTGGGTCTCAAGGATGCTCATGTTCTACCAAAGTAAGGTGGTTGGGTCCCCAAGCAAGGTGGCCACATCCCAAAGGTGCTCACATGCTCCCAAAGCAACGTGGCTGGGTCCCAAAGCCACACAGTCAGGTCCCAAAGACACTCATGTGCTCCCAAAGCAACGTGGCTGGGTCCCAAAGCCGCACAGCCAGGTCCCAAAGACACTCATGTGCTCCCAAAGCAACGTGGCTGGGTCCCAAAGCCGCACAGCCAGGTCCCAAAGACACTCATGTGCTCCCAAAGCAACGTGGCTGGGTCCCAAAGCCGCACAGCCAGGTCCCAAAGACACTCATGTGCTCCCAAAGCAACGTGGCTGGGTCCCAAAGCCGCACAGCCAGGTCCCAAAGACACTCATGTGCTCCCAAAGCAACGTGGCTGGGTCCCAAAGCCGCACAGCCAGGTCCCAAAGACACTCATGTGCTCCCAAAGCAACGTGGCTGGGTCCCAAAGCCACACAGCCAGGTCCCAAAGACACTCATGTGCTCCCAAAGCAACACGGCTGCATCCCAAAGATGCTCACGTGCTCTCAAAGCAATGTGGCCGGACCCCAAAGCCACATGGCCAGGTCCCAAAGATTCTCATGTGCTCCCAAAACAATGTGGTTGGGTCCCAAAGATGCTCACGTGCTCCCAAGCAACGTGGCCGGGTCCCAAAGCAAGACAGCCGCGTCCCAAAGACGCACAGGTGGTCTCAAAGACGCACAGGCGCTCCCAAAGCCACGCAGCCGGGGATGTTGCCAGTCCTTTGGCCCGTCAGCCCCCTGCCCATCGCTCACCTCGTTCTTGGTGGGGGGCTCGGGGGTGCCAGTTTTCTTGATGGCAGCCGCCGGGATGGCGCTG